CATCTTTAATTTAATTTAATTTAATTTTTTAAGACTTTATATGAAAAAGAATTAAAAAAGTAAGCTAAAAACTCTCTTTCTTTAAAACATTCTCTTCTAGTAGACAATTTTGGATGAACGTTTCGGAGGTTACAGTGCCGGTCCGGATGTATTTGGCGCCTAAAGCGCATAGAAAAAATGCTGCCCCCTAACTATAATTTTGTTTATTATATTTTAAATATGTATCCAAAATGATGCAAAAAAATGTTATAAAATTTAGTTTGTTTTAAAAAAACAAAGCAAAAACACAGAAAAATATCAATACATTATTCATGAAAAACAGTCCTACTTGCTTTTTTCCCTGCAAAATCATTTATCAGTTTTGAATAATCAAGTGCTTCTGCTAGCTCATGCTCTATCGATATTATCGACAATCCATTTAATCGCTCCTGAGACATAGTCGAACGTAGATAATTTTTTATGAGCTTCAACTTTGAAAAACTTCTTTCTGCAGAAGCAACTGAAATCGGAATTGTCAGTAATATGCGGTAAGCAATCTCTGTGTTAGGATAACAACCATCCATTCTTTTTAGAAATTCCAGCATCTCAACTGACTTTGTAACTTCCTTTGGCAACATTTTTCTTAAATACTGAAGTTCCATAAACAGTTGTTTTCCATCTACATCTGAATGTCCATCATGCTCTAGAGAAGCTTCTAGCTTGACACAAGATGTCATCAACTCATCATCTTTTGCTGTTTTTAGTTTTTTCAAACCAAACAGAAATCCAAAAATTTCTTCATAGCGCTGAAATTGCTCGAATCTAACCCCAAGTGACATTATAGCTTGATCCAGTATGTTGATGAAATAATCGATCCTAAAACTCTCCTCTGCATTCATCGGATTACTTTCATCAACTTCAGCATCTTCACCATATTGCTTTTTCTTTTTTATCAAGCGTTTTGGCTTTGAAGAAAATGATGGTTCGATCTCCATATCAATGGCAATTTTCACAGCTTCAGATTTTGCTTTCTCAAAACCATTTTCTCTATAGTCTTTCAAATAATCAATGAGTCCTCCTAACTGAAAAATAGCAGCCTCAAGATCCATATCCTCTGACTGTAAGGTTTTGCTCATTGTATTAACCACATTAAGCAAATCATACCAAATAACCATTCCAAACAAGAACTCAAATCCTCCAATTCCATGTGTTTCACTTACTGCAAGAGACTCAGCGTCACTACGCTGTCCAAGATTATCACTGTTCTCTGCTAAGTAAAACAAAGCCTCTCGTATCTTTAAAGTTTGAAACCGTATTGGTTTCACACTATCAATGCGACTTTCCCAGCGAGTTTGAGACAATGGTTTAAGTGTAATACCTTTCTCTATCTCTCTGTAAACTTCACAATTGTTGGTTGAAGATGAAAATATGCAGTATATTCGCTGCACAATGCCAAAAAATGAAAGAGCTTTCTCTAATGAACCAGCCATATCACAAAGTGCAAGATTAAGACTATGACATCCACATGGAGTATAAAACGCCCTTGGATTAATATCAAGCAATCTTTTCTGAACTCCTTTATGTTTTCCTTTCATATTTGACCCATTGTCATAACCTTGTCCTCTGACATCACTGATATTCAACTTAAGATCAGCCAATGCATCTTGTAGAGTGGTAAAAATTCCCTCTCCTGTTTTGTCTTTGATCTCAAAGAAGGATAAAAAGAACTCCTCAACCTTGGGTGAATCCGTAGACACATCTACACATCGAATTAAAAAGGTCATCTGCTCTCTGCGACTAACATCAGGAGTAGCATCCAAAATGACTGAAAAATACTTTGAATCTCGAATCTTCTTTAAGATTACCATCTTAATCTCATTAGCAAGTAATTCTATCAACTCATTCTGAATCTTGTGACTAAGATAATGGTATTGAGTTTCACCTTTATCAATCCGTCGAATGTGTTCCTTCATTACTTCATCAAAACCTCCAATCATCTTAATAAAAGCCAGAAAATTCCCACTATTTGGATCACTAACCTTTTCGTTTTCTTCACGAAATGCTAAATTCCTTTCCGCTAGTGTTTTTACCACTGAAATTATCCTCAACATCACATCTCTCCAATGTTTTTTCTCCTTATTAATTGCCTCCTGCAAATGCTTATCAATAGTTTCGCTCTTTCTCAGCCTCATTTCTAGCTCAATCCAGCTACTCATGCATACAATATGATTGTAAGTAGTTTCGTGACTTTTCAGCCTATGTGAAGCATTTCTCCAGTCGTTATACCCAGTAGTTACCAAAATAGGAGGAAGAGTATCTTGAGTAAATAATTTACAGCAAAAACAAAAGATCTTATCTTTTGATTTTGAGTAAACTAACCATCTTCTATCTTGTTTCTCTCCATTGCTCATTCTTCTTGTATAACATGAATGACTGAAGGATCTATTAGCACCATCTCTTGGAAAAGGATAATCAGCTGGAGGTCTTGTAGGTGGACCTCTTTCAACTAAATAATCTTTTATTCTTGGTTCAATCTTCTCCCAGTTTCCAAGATCATCCATATCAAAACTCTCATAAGAACTCCTAGCATCATCAATTTTCTCCTGGTCTTCCAAGTTTTTATTCATAGATTTTTCTTTATCCATATTCATACAACCTGCGTCATCACCAACAATTTCTTCTTCACTCATTTTATTTGCATCTTCTTCGACAACATGATCTCCCTTTCCATCTTCTTTCTCCATCTCAGGTCTAACTGATTTATCAGATTTAGAACTTTTAGATCTTGTGACATATTTGAGCATATCATTAGCTTGAGATTTCATCACTTCTTCTTGTCTACTTTTTCTTTTTCTATTGTCACATCCACTTGGTTGATTCCTAATTCTGTTTCCTGGTAACATTTTTCTGCAATTTAAAAATTAAAATATAAGTTAGAAAATATAGCAACAATACATACATACGATAAAAAAGTGAACATCAAATATGATATTTTGATCAAATCTTCTTAACGTCATTTTTAGTCTGAAAAACCTTCTAAAACTTTCATAGAGTTTCATAATTGAAGTTTTATGTCTGTTTGGATTTCAGAAAATTTTAAAGAACTTGTTAAGAATTAAAAACTCACGTTAGAAAAGAAAAAGAAATAGGATAGATAAAAAAGAACATGAAGATTATAAAGCTACTTACTCCAACAGATGATGATTGATGAACAATGGAAGATAATTCTTTTGCAGTCAGAGAACTATAGAGGAAACGTCAATTGTTAGGTTTAGGATTTAGGGAAATAATTAGTTTTGCTTAATTTGTGTATTTAGATATTTTACAATTTATTATAATATATTCACATACATAAGGAAATTCAATTTGTTAGAAAGGAAATCCCAATCTACGGTAAATCTGTTTACAAATTTGTTATTATCAAAAAGGAAAAGAAAAAAAATATAAAAAAAATTTAAAAGGCTTATAGTTGGTCGAACCCGGGTCTGAAGGAAAGGCTAAGACATACATAACCACTACACTAAACAAACCTCGTTGTACATGATGCCCCTAAATAATTTATAAATCTTGGCGCCTAAAGCATTTGCTTTATGGGCTTTAGTCCTGGGCCGGCCCTGGGAGGTTAAAACCAAGTTGCTTTGGTCTAGTGACAAAGGAACTCCAGCTGAAGTGTCCATCTCTGGATTCGAACCTTGATCACTACGAAATTTATATATGGACTACAGCATCCGAGACGGAAGAATGTTATAGGTGAACCACATGATGACGTCTTGGCAGTATCCTTGTTCGCTTCGGTCTCTAGTCTGTACCATTTTAATAAGGTCAGGATACTTGATTAAAAAAAAAAGTTTCTGAGCTTAATATAGTTTTGTTCTCCTGTTTTTTTCGCCGAAGTCGAAATATGTAAACGATAAGTATCCGTTTGGACAGAAAAACAAAACGATGAGTGTCTGTCACTTTCCACACACAGACGTGAAACCACGATCGTTCGATTATCCCTTAATTTACAAGCTGCTTCTGAGACGCTAATCCAACGGCAGATGACAGAACAAAATATACATACCAAATCTCCATGACACCAACTTATTACATTTTCCTGAAAAACAACTTATAACTTTTTATTCTGTCTTTCTTACCATGTAAGTATTTTTTTGGTTCAAAAGAATAAACTAATAACTAAAAATATAATTCAGCTGTTGACGGAAAAAAATTCTGAAAACGAGGAGTATCTTTCTTTGATTTTCTTATCTTATTTTCTTACAATTATTTGCAAGGCCACGGCAGTTACATTCTACAGACCACACTGAACAATTTTTTCTCAACAGTACTTTCTGTTTATGCTATTATATTTTCCGGAAGTATCTACTTCATAATTTATGTCCCAATGCTATATAAGTGATAAATAAATAGTATATTTTTCTTTGGCTATACACACACAAAACAGATAGAGTTGGCAGAGATTAATTAGATCTTCACTACAAGCAATGTTAATGCCTAGTTCATCAATTTCAAACTAGTTGGATATAATTGTTTTCTTTAGTTTTTGGCTCAAAATGATTTCGTAAATTGTTTTTCTTTTCTAAGACTTTCGTATATTGTTTTCGTTGTTAGCTTTTCTACATATAAAGAAAGAAAAATTCTAATCGGCAATTTGAACCTATTTATTAACAAATTATCGATTTTCGCTGATCAAGTTTGTGTAATTAGGTCAAAACCGAGATACTTGAGTGGTTATGGCCGCCTTGCAAATCCTTTTCTTTTTATCAGATGCAAATCCTTATTTAAAAGATTATAACTTATAAGTGCTACATGCGTCAAGATCTAGAATTAATATTAATAAGATGCTAATGTAACTATATAAAAAGTATTAAAAACTCTTGACCAGATGATAATTGTAGGCCATTTATATTATAGTTTCTCTCCGGGTTATGCGAAAAAGGAAAAAGCATTTCACATGTCTCTCTGTTTACATGCACGAACCTCAAATTACTTGTTAATATTTTATGTTTAACACTAAATCACGCAATTCTATTATAAAAATAAACCTCATTTTGGCCACAACCTTTGTCTATATATACATTTTTAGCCTCCGCCTCTCTCTCATCAAACCACAGGACTCTCACAAATTTAAAAGCTACACCTCTCTACTACACCTTTGTAATTTCTCTCTATCTCCAAAAAAATGGCAGAAACAGCAACATCATCTTCACTGAAACGCCAAAGAGACGAGCAAGAACAAAAAACCATACCCCAAGAAGATACAAAAAAACAAAAGCCTTCTTCATTTTCTAACTCCTCGTACAATCAAGATCAATGTCTCTTAGATGTTGTGGAAGCACAAAATGAAGAAGACAATGATTTAACTTCCCTAATCACCACACTGCAGCAAGAACTCTCTACGGAAGAGCAAAACGCTACCGTCTTTGATATTCCTGCTATCTCTTCTTCTTCTTGCTCCTCCTCGTCGTCTTCATGCGGTTCAAAGGATGAAGAATATGAAAGCGACAAGGAGAAGGTGATGAAGCATCTTTTAGAAGCTTCGGACGACGAACTCGGGATACCTAACACTGAATTTGGCGAGAGTAATTATGAGATGATTAAGAATGAGAGTAATCAGGATTACGTTAATGGGTTTAGTTTATTAGATGGTTTTGGAGATGGGTTTTGGGAGCTTGAGGATGAAGTTGCTAACTATTACACGTTGCTGCAGTCAGAACTGTTCATGTAGAAGTCCATATAACAGTAAAAATAGGGTAACAAGAACAAGAGAGGATGGGTAAAAAGGAGAGAGTAAAACCAAATATATGAATGAAAGAAAAAAATTGAATATTTTCTTTAATTTTCATTGTTGGGTTTCTTTTTTTCATGTGAATTGACGACAGGTGTCCTCTTTTATTTGTTTTAGCTATTATGCTTTTATTTCTTTCATTAATGTGTTTATTAAATTTCTAGTGGGACTAATGATATTGATACTATTTTGTTGTTTTTGTCTTTAAATTGTTTGTTACGTTATTAAAGACATACTCCGTGTATTAATCGACTACAAAATACAAATCTAATTCAAGTGGCTTCTACTGGTCCCATTCGGGGACCATGGTGTTTCATCAAAGTTAAGACGCCAAATAAATTTGTTCAAAATATTTGTTTAGTTAGATTCGAAGTTTTACAATTATATTCGCTTATTGACATAATTAAAAAATTAAAATCTTATTAATCGCTTACCATCTGGTATGTTCTAACTTTTTGCAGTACATGCTCTTAGTGTGTATATTTTTATAACCGATTCAGCAAACCCTTTATCAGAAAAAAAAATCTAGAATAAACATTTTTATGAAAGAAGTACAATACTACTATTGTCATCTTTTCTTTTGTCTATTGTCATTAAATTCGTTTTTACTTGTTTTTATCAAGATTTTGTACGTTTAGGATAAGCCTGTTTTCTATCAGATTCATGTCCGTTTAGGATTGCGAACTATATATATATATATATTGATTAGATGAAGAATTGTTAGTGTTAATTCTGGAAGTGTTTTAGAGGACTGATTAAATTTCTTGAAATTTTTATTGGTATTAGTTTCTAATATCAAGTAATATCAATTTTTTTATTACCAACGGTATCTAGTCGTTGATCTTAAAACCAAATATAGACCACCCACTATTTCTTGACATGAATGTATCATTTTCCAACTGATTTATATTGAATAAAATAAAACATAAATCGGTAACTACAAGATTATTCTTTGTTGGAAACAAATACCAAATTTCGTGATAAAGAAAAAGGAAACAAATACCAAAAAGGGAAACGTAAATTCAAACAAAAAAAACACATACAAAAATAATATAAACCTAAAACAAATACCTCGATGATCTGATCAACTATTTTAGCTCAGCTACCACCAGATCATTTTGGTTGGTTAATCTTCAAGACCTTATTACATGATTAAAATTCACAACTAAAATGCACCACCAAAATATAATAATAGAAGGCCAATGCTAATGTTCTATCTACATATTATGGTTGTACGTATATGCATATAAAAGAGTCTTATAAATAATTTGGTAAAAACACTAGGATTTTTGTTTTTGGTAAAATTTAAAACACTACGATTTTTGTATTGAAACATAACTCAATTTACATGCTTTAACTTTAGGAGCATAATATTATTATTTTATCTATTTGTTTTTAACCTAATATATGTGTGTGAATAAATTATGAAACAATAAACTAAATGCTATTCACAATTAGGGTGCATGAAAATCTATTCCTAGAAAATAAAATAAAAAATCTACTCCTAAATCTCCATATTTTTATATGAATATGCGGTCTGAGTTTGAATACTTTGAGAACTTATTTGTAACAAAAAAAACGCATGCTCCATTCTCAAAAAAAGTAAAGAAGTTGTCGGTCCACAGTCCACTTACGCGATGTTCCACTGACGCTGTGTTCCACCAGTTCTGACATCGATAATTTAATAGTTATCTCGTTTAACAGATCTTTCTGTATTAATGATTAATTTACATATCATGTTTGTCGGGTAGTGGACAAATTTTAATTAGTTATTGGAGCTATTTGTGAATAAGTACGTTTACCAAACTTAATAGAGCAGTGATTTTTTTAATAACATCTATACTTCATTTTGTTTTCAGCTAATGTCATTAATATAGATTCACTTCTCCACCTTACTTCTTAGTATGATTTCTAGTAATATTATATGTCATTACATATAATGGCCATATATATTCGCTTCCAATTCTTAGTATGCTTTCAAGTAGCATTATATTCATATTATTTCATCTTTAATACAGGATGTTATTTGCAAATCAGGTTGCTTTAACTTATAAGTTTATAATGTATTAATATGTGTTTCTGTTGACAAAAAATATGTATTTTCTTAGGCTGAACTTTTTATTTAGTACTTTCTGTTCATATATCGTTAACATATCGAAATAACCTCACGAATCTTGTGAAAACCTACTTTGCCCACTGTTTGTCTGTGTTTATACTACTACTGTATATCAGGGTACATTTACTCACCTTGTATTTGTCATATATGTTCACTATAAACTGTTACTAATTTCATTTACTATTTGTAAATGCTGAGAGCTGGACTCACGAGAATCCTATGTAAATCTGACTCAGCAGTGCTGGTGAAAATGCTCAATGAAGACACTTCTTTGGCTGGTCTCTATGGGATCTTAGCTGATATTTCTTTCAATTGGATCTCTCGAATGAAAAATGTAGAAACTGATAAGCTAATAAAGCAGATTCTATCTGTTGAACTGATCTTAGAGCAAGATTATTGGAGTGACTTAGAGAGAGGAGCTTAAGAAAAAAAAAATTAGTGGGGTGGATTTCACTTAAACAAAAAGATGATTCTTGCTCTTAATTAAGCGCCAAATTATGTAGGTTGCTAGTACTACTATTCACGGATTTCACTGACACGTAATCCGATTGGTTCATTTATTTAATTTTTTTTTTTAAATTAAAAAAACGTAAAAAAAAAAAAATTAAACATTCATTATGGAGTGCTAAGTTAATCATGTTCTTAATGGCTTCACCTACTTTGGCTTGATCCTTTGATATAAGTGTGCTTCAAAAAACATATTCATGTACTATTTGTACCCTACAAATAAATAAACAATGTTCGATTGTAAATGTACAGCCTGAACCAACTAGATCAATAATCAATCTAACCTATCTCCAATAATAATTTCTTTTATTAAAGTAAATCAATCTGGTTTGCAGCTAACGAGTGTACTTGCCACATACGAGTATATTATTCATTGTAATTTGCAATTATACATTCTTTAATATCTAACCATCCTTTCAATTTTCGCAATCTATGTATAGTAATCTGCAGTAACAAATTCCGTATACACATGTACACTAGATGGATAATTAAATTGTTAAAGTTACGTGTTCAAAACAAAACTTAAAAATCTATATATTTGGTCAACTAAAAACTCTCATATTAGTGAGTTTAAGCTTGAACCTGTTTTTTTTTTCAAACACTGTATAAAATTCACCAGAAGAAAGCCTTATTTCATACAAGATTTTTCCCATTGTGTTTTTTGTATCACGAATTATATAATATGGTGAATTTCTTTATGCGCTAAATATAAATTCAAAAACAAACTCTATAAACTTTTGAGATCTTACTTAAATACATATTAACTGCAGTCAACTGCCTGATTGTATATTTGTTTAGCTCTTAGTTAAAATTTATATATTTTTATAGTTTAGTTAAATTTATTTATTTCTGGCAATCGATAGAGTCGTTAAAAATACATCTGCTCTTAATCACTTGTGATTGATATTCATGAAAACAAATGAACCAAACTAGCAAATTACACTATTTTATTATGTATCAACTTGTACACCCAGACCACTAATTTTGTGGACCGGTCTTCGCTATATACTTAAACGTGGAAACCTAGGATGCATAACCAAAATATCCTACCTTCAATCATATGAACTACCGACTACAAGCATAGCTACTCAGTTTTTTTTTTCTCGACAACGAGCATAGTTACTAAGTTATATATAGAACATACATCATTTGCATATATACTTGGCATTAGCAATTATGTAATGTATTCTGTCTCCACTCCATTTCATTGGCTAAGCATTTCAACAAAAGAAAATCAAGTGGGTGTATTAGGACAACCGTAATAATAATGATTTGAGACAGAAGGATTATGGTAGCTTGATTACATGGTTGAACTTCAAAACATTATTGCAACACCAATAATTTCGAACATTATTGCGGCACTAATGATTTTTCGTTTTTGTTTGGAGCTACAGATCTTAAAACTAAAAATAAAACAACAGAAAAATCGCATCTTGTCCGTCATCATCCTCAATTATTTTACTTTTGTTTCTTATTCTTCAAAAATATTAGATTCGACTAGTGACACAATATATATAATTTGAAAAATAAAAGTAAAAAGAAGCATAGGAATGGTGGAGGCCAGTAGTAGTAATAGAAAATGGTTGAAAAACTACTGAAAATAAGTTTGATTCTCTTTTGTAATTTTGAACAAATCTCTATAGTATATAAAACAAGTTATGACAAAGTAGCACACCAAAATAAACAATTCAAAAAATATGATTATAAAGGAATAAATTATTCTATACTTTATATTAATCTCCCCCACCTTATATACTAAACTCTAAACCCAAATTACTAATCTAAAGCATGTATATATCATTTTTAATACTTTGTATACTATTTTTGGCAAAATATGTTTTAATGTTCTTTTAGATTGTTTGTCTATAATTTTGATCTAAACGTTTGAACTAGATGCCACTTTTCAACTTTTAATTAGTGCATGATATTAAAATTAATTGAAAAAGAGTTAATAAGACAATAAAATTGTTAATATATGTATTATCATAAATTACGTATAATGATGTTGCAAATAAGTTATATTTTTGTATAACATAAAATTGAAAATTAGGTTTAAATAGTATTAGCACACAAGAGATTTTTTTTTCTTTTCAAAATGACATTCATTAGCGAATAAAAAATAAATTATATATATACATATATATAGTTTAGTGCTTAGAGTTTAGAATTTGATATTTTGGAAAAGAGAATAATATTTTATGATATAGGATAATTTAGTGTTTTTATTAGTTAATAAATGCTATTTTGAAGATTGTTTTAATAAATACTAATTTTGACAAAGGTAATATTTAAAAGATTTTCCCTATAAAATTTATATCAACAACTGATCTGCCTTGTTATAAAACGACACACAAGCTCTCCCATAAATGTGTTCATTTCTTTAAATGGAAGGAGAAAAACTGAATAATAAAGAAAACTATGATGGTCAGAGAGAGTAGTAAAAGGACTCACTTAGTCACTTGGTTGTGAGCTGAAGACTTGAGACATCCATGATATGTTCTTTCAGCCAAGTAGAGAGAAGCGTTGTTGTTGAAGTGACACCGCATCACATTCGTGCAAATGATCCAAAGGGAAAACTACGCTTTCTCTGGTGAGATAGGTCTCAATCCTCTGTTTCCTCCAAATACCCCACCTGCCACCAGGAAATCAATAGGGGCATGTAAAGCTTGAGGAAGTAACATTGTTAGTAGTGTTTGTGTTGGTTTCTTATACCTCTAGTCTTCATAATATCACCATCAACTGTAAACAAAAACAAATATGCAAATTTGTATTAGTGACTTTACAGATGCTAGTTGCTCTCTACAAACCACGAGGTGATCAGGAAGATGCCAGTGATCGAGCCACACCGGTGATGGCTACAACGCTGGTGATGAAAGAGACTCGTTGACGGAAACGACGAGTCGATGTTCAGATGTGAAAAGATACAAAGCTGGAAAGGAGAGGGACTCCGCATGGTAATTGTTATTGAAAGAACAGGTTAGTTATAAGCATTGGTTTAATATTCAACAACTATTTATCAAAAATAATCTGTGTATTCTCTCAATTTATTCAGGTGCAAACTTTAAATTATCTTGTAAATGTGACAAAAAATACTTGTAGATGTGTTCCGGTGCAAACTCTCATCATCTTTCTAAGTTGGCCGTAAGCCAAATCAACGAGCATAATTCTATATATACCGAGGACGTACGATCTAGAACTTAAGGAAATGAGAAGTAAAACTAGAACTAAACCAATGGACGAAGTATAAACGACACTGAGATATGAAAAAGCATAGAACATAACTTAAAACAATTGTCCAAACAAAATGAAACCATACGAAGAAGATCCATGTCTTCAACTGTTACAACAAAAACCAAACGAACAACTTCGGAAACTAAAGTATCAGTACTATAGCCACAAATCATCTTCATTCTTAATCGCTGGTGGCTGATATGAACGCACTTCCAGGTTGACGGTTAGCCAAAGGACCATGGTTTGACAAGAACTGCAACACAAAAAACGAACATAAATCACATTCAATAAACCATAAACGCTCAAATGATGAAAAAAAAATCATGCAAAATCTATCATATACAAATCCAATTATCCCACAAAATTATCACAAAATGTACAAAACTCCAAATAGATCTATGGGGCAGACTTAAACACATACACTCTGCATTCAACAAATTAAAAATTGGACTCAACCACAGGAATGTTCTACAAGAACAATACCTTAGCATTGACACCATCAGGAACAATCCTCTTAGACTGTCTCAGCCTAGTGTAATCAGCACGGTTGAACTTAGTGAACCCCCTGAAACCATCACCAAATGTATCAGTTAAACAGAACTGCTTCACCACAAAGCAGACTGATAAAAACAAAACCCATACCATTTCCTGCTAACAATAATCTTCTGCCTCCCAGGAAACTTAAACTTAGCCCTCCTCAGCGCCTCCTGAGCATGAGCACCATGATTATCCTTACACCTCACAGACAAAAGCACCTGCCCAATCGCAACCCTAGCACAAGTCCCCAAGGCCTTCCCAAACGCCCCCCTCATACCAGTCTGGAGCCTATCAGCTCCGGCGCACGAAAGCATCTTATTAATCCTCAGCACATGGAAAGGATGAACCCTAATCCTCAAGTGGAAAGCATCTTTCCCCGCTGATTTCACCATGTACTTGTTGCAGGCGATACGCGCGGCCTCGAGCGCTTCGCTGGAGACGTTTTCTTTCTCCCATGAGACGAGGTGGACGCAGAAGGGGAACTCGTCGACTCCTTTCTTCTTCATCCCGACGTCGTAGATTCGGATCTTGGGGTCGGGGACACCGCGGCAGTAGCGGGATTTAGGGTAGGGTTTGCCCTTGATCTGACGGTAACATCTCGCAGGTCCTATGAACATTAATCTCATGGGTTATAATCAATGGTGACAAATCTCAAAACCCTAGATTCTACAAAAATCGAAATTGGAGTCATAGAGATTAGCAGAAACACGAATCTAGCTACTATGAATCATAGGTTTATAAATCAATGGCGACACATCTCAATCCCTAAGCAGAATCTAACTATTACGAATCATACAAAGCGATCGATGGAACGCAACGAATCTCAAACCCTAGGATTTTGTAAAATCGGAGGCTAGTGATTTCATTTGAGCCATAGAGATTCAGAAACACGGTTCAGGTAATTCGAATTGAGATTTGGAAGGAGAAGAAGAGACTTACTTCGCCCCATCGCGTTGGAGTTTTGTTCGTTGGTGACGGCTTTGTAAACCCTAACGATATTAAAAATGAGACGTGTGGATTCGTTTTATATGTGAGACAACAGAAACAGAAAAAAAGCCCTAAGTTTAGCATAATGGCCCATTAGACTTTTTTATATATGGTTCATGTTAGGGAGTAGGCAAAAAATCCGAACCTGAAAAACCGAACCCAATCTGATTCATTATGGTATCTAAAGTGAATGTGTATAACTGAATGTGTTCAAAATTGGTTGAATAACCGAATGTGTTCAAAATTGTGGTATCTAAAGAATCAAAGTCAAACCTGAATATATTCAAATCAGATTTATATACTTGAATATATTTGTTATTTTTAGATGTAACATCGAAAAATATAAAAATGTATAGATATTTTGAGGTTGTTCAAATATATACAAATATTCAAAAGTAAATAGTTAAAATAGCTAAGCAATACCTCAAAACATCGTTAATACATAAAAATCTTATTGATTCTCCATCCAAATATTCACGTCAAGCCAAATATTATGTTAAATTAAGGTATTTTTACATATATTATTTAAATTTATTTGTTATATATATTTTTATTTTTAGACTTTTGAAATTTAAATTATATATGAATAATTTATCAATGATACGAGGTAAACCTTAGATTAAATCAAAAACGAAACTAATTGGAGCCTAACTGTTTCATTTGAAACATGGTTCGATTTAATGATCTATGTTTTTACATTTTTAATAATAAACTTTGGTAAATAAAGATAACTGGTAAAAATATGATTTGACGTAATAATTTGTTATAGTTTTCTTTATGGCCTTCTTTGACAAAAAAAAAAATTAACATACTTTACAAAACTATTCATAGATGGAGTTTTCTTGGGACACCATTGAAGGTAAATATATATATATATTCTTATGTTGTCTCTATTTCTATTTACGTAGCTTATAAACTCTTGTAATCACTATTTCTATTTCTGTAGCTAACAATCATACTCTACAAAAAATAATTACAATCGAACCCAAATCAATTATCTTTGTTACTATTTTGCCAAAAAGAAAATCTAAAACCAAACCAAACCAAATTTTCCCATTTGAAATACTTGGTGATTATAATTATTGTAGGTTGATAGAGCTAATCATGTTTCCTCAATGTTGTTGTATTGTGATTGGTGCACTTTTGGTGATTATGATTAACGTAGAACTGATTATTTACTTACATTTAATCAATAGAAATATTCCTCGTTAAACTGCTCGTTTTACTTGGGAGCCATGCAATATCTGAGTTGATACAGAGCTCCATACAACTCTATGCATCATCTTCCTGACAATCTACAAGAGTCTGTGTGTATATTGATCAAAGTGTACAAGCATATATATATATATACAAGAGACATTGTCCTTAATCGCCGTATGAGGATTATGTATTTAGATAATTACAAAATAAGACTTTATCAATATATATCGCTATAACTCATATCATTATCTCTATACACACAACACATATCGTTATCTCTATACAACATAAGACTTTTATCAATATCGCTGTGACTCATATCATTATCTCTATACACACAACACATATCATTATCTCTATACACAGAACAGAGCAAAAAAGGAGCTATACCTCAAATCTAGGATCGATCATTCTCCTTCAGACCCAGTTGCCTTGGTTGAGTCGTTTCGAAAACTGGTTGATTAATCTGCAAGAAACTTTGTTTAGAAAGATATTTGGTACAAATCAAGAGTAGACTTAGATTTGGTTTGATTAATCTTACTCAGCACTAAATAGATCAATCTGGTTAGCAGCAAACACTCGTAGATCGTCTCTCATAGGATCAAACCGTCTCCACAACTCGGTTTCAGCATCCTCGAGCAACATAAGTGCGTTATTTTCGTCCATGATTTTTGAGGGAGAAAAGATAGAGAGAGTTTTTTTTCTGAGAGAAGGGTGTGAGGGGAAAAAGTTGCGCAGAGCAAAACGGTTAACGCCCTTCCTTATTTGTTGTTCTTTTTCTTGTCCTTTTCTGGTGTTCGAATATTTGTTCATTTTTTTGGTTTTATTTTTTTCCAGTAGAACAAACCGTCACTTTTTCACGCGCATACTCTTTTGCAAATAATGTTTAATTTTCACTTTTGGAAGAATTTTTTTTCTGTTTTTGTTGAATGGTTAAAGACTTTGTTCACACATCCATGCACAAATCCAATAGATTAGTCTTGATACAAATCTCAATAGATTATTCTTGATACAAATCTCACAAAAATCAGGGTTTCATATAATTTGTTAAAAACATGTCTTTTTCTTATGTTATGAAATGCCAAGGTTTCTTATAATGTTCTCTTATTTACTTCAAATTAGATAAGTGATTAAAAGTTGATTAGAAATTCTGGAAACAAAACTCGGTAATCATTCATCTACACACGTGTGGATCACCTCAACTACACAACCCTATCATAAACATTTTTCATTCCTAAAACTCTTAACATATTTTTTTTTGACGAAAAAATAGTTAACATACTTTACAAAACTATTCATAGATGGAGTTTTCGTGGGACACCATTGAAGGTAAATATGTTTTTTTATATATTTTTTTATGTTTTCTCTATTTCTATTTATGTAGCTTATAAACTCTTGTAATCATTATTTTTATTTCTGTAGCTAACAAACATACTTTACAAAAAAATAATTACAATCAAACCCAAATCAATTATCTTTATTATTATTTTGGCAAAAAGAAAATCTAAAACCAAACCAAGCCAAAATTTCCCATTTGAATACTTGGTGATTATAATTAGTTTAGGTTGATAGAGCTAATCAGGTTTCCTCAATGTTGTTGTTGTTGTGATTGGTGCACTTTTGTGATTATGATTAATCGTAGAACTTATTATTTACTTACATTTAATCAACATAAATATTCCTCGTTAAACTGCTCGTTTTACTTGGGAGCCATCCAATATCAAAACTTTTTCTAGTGTTAGAATGAGACTTGTGTTTATTTGTTTATTTATTTATTTGTAACCGTGAGTTAAAATAAATAAGAAAGGATTTGTTTGTTTATGACAATAGTTGACAAGGAAAGTCCCCACGTGAGACATTCTCTCACACTGCTTACAAATAATCATCCAAATGATACCTCTCACTACTTACCTTAATTAGAGCATGAACATTTAGAGTTCAATGTAGAAGTTCACATATTTTTCAAAAATAAAAAATATTAAAAGATTTTTTTCCTATGAACCTCTCTCTCCTCATCTCTCCCAAGTGAATCTTCTTTTAGCGAATTCATCACTGTTTCGCAGACCGTGCGACACGTGATGGTCCACCATTGATTCGATTATTTATTTATTTATTTTTATTTTTTTCTTTTAAATCAAATCGAAAAAATTAATAATAAAAAATTAAAAACTCGAACCCCAAAAGGGAATTCACTAATGCACATGGTCTTCCTCTACTTAGACTAGCCTTTCCACTCTACTTTTTTTTGAAATAACATGGTGTCCTGGCATAACTAGAAGCAAAATAATTTTGAAGGAAAAAAATAATTTATTTATTTATTAAAAAAAACAATCTAAATTTAATATTTAAAACTTAAAAAATTGACTATACAATTTAAGACTATACAAGATATAATTACTTTATTTCTCAAACCCAAAATAAAATTAGAATTTTCTGTAAAGTTTAGAGATTTTAAAATTTTCATTTGAAACTTAGAAGTATTTTTTATTAAAATAAAAAAAATTAAGTATTAAAATGGGTACAATTATAAGAGTGTGTATATTAGAATGAGTAAAATAATTAGTTGTGGTATTAGACTGGGCAACGAAAAAACTTTGAGTATTACAAACTTAACGAAATTTAGTTGGGATATTTTTGTGGAATTTTCCCCTTACAAAAAGAAATGCAATAAACCAAACCAATTATTTTGGCAAAAAAAAAAAAAAAAATCTAAAAGCAAACCAAATTTCCCATTTGAATACTTGGTGATTATGATTATTGTCCGTTGATAGAGCTCATCAGATTTCCTCAGTGTTGTTGTGATTGATACATTTTTGGTGATTATGATATATTGTACAACTGTTTCTTTTTCAACAAAGATACTCCTAGTTTAAATGCTTGTATTCCTTGTGAACCACGTAATACTAAAAAAATACAAACGAAATGTAATTTTCATCAAACTTTTTTTTTTCTATTGGTAGCAGAAAACATGTTGGTTTTAACTCTCAGAACACATGTTTCTCTATTTATTCTATATGTGGCTATCTTTTCTTTGTCTCTCTCCCTTCTTCCTCTATTGAAGACATATGAGATCCTAGGAAACTAGAATGTTGTGTCGCTCGCAAGCTTTAGCTCCATTTTCACCCCACCACTTCTCTGCTTGTTCTTCAGTAAACTGTTTCCGACTGCATAAGAAACATCAACATTACATGTAAAGCATGATGAACTGAGTCACTCGTAAAATGATATGAAGCATTAATAAATGTACCTGAACCGGACACGCTTGAGTTCATTACCACCACCAGGTAAAGACAACAATGTCAAATACACTCCAGGTTCATCTTGCACAACTCTCTCTCCCTTCTCATTATGTCTTCTATGTCCATTAACAAAACTCTTACTTGTTAAGTTGTTATCTGGTTGACTATCATGAGGGACCATACTTCTTATATGTGTCTGGGAACTAGTCTGAGTTTGACTCTCTGATATTGTCTCTTTTTCTGTGTGTCTTAAGTTAGTGCTAGTATCATCCTTTTGAGATCCTCTTCCAGACATTTCCTTCAACTGAAAAACCATATGTTAATATTATGCAAAAAATTGATATATTATAAGAAAACATAAGAAGTAAGATGAATGTACCTGAGTGGTTAGAGATCTAATAACTTCCTTTGCAGATCTGTTTTCCTCTGCTTCATCTGCTGCCATTGCAGTGACCACTTTCAACTGCCTTTTAGTTTTTTCTAGTTCCTCTTCAAGTTGTTGTGTTTTGGAAGTAAGTTGTTCTACCTTCATTGTTCAGTAAATATAAAATATTAGTTGCATACTTTCTCTGATATAAAATATTAGCTGCATTTTTTTTCCATTAATAAAAATGGTTAGAGAGAAGATGTACCTGTTCCTTTAGACCCACCATTTCTTGACCAAAACTGTCTTTTGTTTGTTTAGTTTCATCAGATGCTACTTCATAAGATGGGCGTGGACTAGTTGACTTCACTGAAACTGGAGATGCTGTCCTAGAACTCACTTTTGAACCAGGAACTTTAACTATCATATTTTTGGAGATTCTAGGCCAAGCTATTGATCCTCTTGATAATGGCGACAAAGCTGGCTGTGAACTGGCAAAGGAGAAGACATTACTGTTACTTACTTCAGGTTTCATCTCTCTTCTGTTGTGTTTTCCTTCACCATAATGCACTAAAGAGTCAGCTGAGGCTATTCTTGAATGTGGTGAGAGGAGTTTTGGAGTTTTTTCTGAAACATCTGTCGATTTTAGCATATTAAGAAGGTTTTTGGTGCGTGGAGTTGGAGGAGGTGGAGGAGACCGTTCTCTAGACCTTTTCAGTTTGGTGAAACATCCATAACACACTCTATATGGTTTGTTCATATCAGGCGCAAGAGCAGCTCTCAAAGACTTTCTACTGCTGCATACTTTACAAAAGATGAGACCACAGTTGTAACAGTTGTGACGTTTTCTTCTAAAGTTGAAAGGGTTACGACAACCAGCACATAGTGAATGTTCAGAGCCAGGTACCCATTTGTTAAGACAAATCACAGCAGTGAAGTTGGAACCACATGTTATAGTCTTGACTTGTTTTTCTTTCAAGAACCCAACAACAGCAGGTTCTCTTTTGTTCTCAACGGTTCCATGTCCTAACTGCCCATTTAATCCTTTCCCCCAAGTGTAAACCTCTGATTTAGATGTCAACACAGCCACATGATGATAACCACACGCAATCTCCTCTACACAAGCCTCTGCTATGTCTCCTTCCACGCGTGAAGGGAGCTTCTCCTTAGCCGTAGGGTTACCCAGCTGGCCGTAAGCCGGGCTACCCATTGTATACACATGTCCTTTGATTGTAAGAGAGACAGTGAGACTATGTCCACAAGCAACTTGGCAGATGTGTTCATCTGTCAATGAGGTTACACACTCAGGGAGTAGCTTTGCCACATTGTCACCATGACCAAGCTGTCCTTTCTCACCATCTCCCCATGTGTACAGTTGTCCACACGAAGAGTATAGCTCAGCATCATCAGATGCTTCATTTGTAACCTCCACCACTGCAGCTGTATGCCAAACTCCACAAGAAACTCTCACTACTCTTAGCTCACTTAAGCTTTCCACTACACGTGGAACACTAGAGCTTCCTCTGTCTCCATGACCTAGAGCACCAAAACATCCATCTCCAAATGTAAACAACTGTCCTGACGATGCAACCACTGCTGTATGCCACGGACCACAAGCCACATACGTCACATGAATCCCTTGTAACACACCAGTGACTCTCTTAGGAAGCCAGGAGCTAGATTCACTCCCATGCCCAAGTAAATTGCCTTCACCCCAACTGTAAAGATCACCAGATTGAGTAACAGCACATGTATGAAACTCACCACATGCTAAAGATTTGAAACTCATTCCTCTGACACTACTAATGAACTTTGGTTGGTGAGTATCTTTTTCTAATCCATGTCCTAGCTTCCCACCTTTGCCTTCTCCCCAGCTGAAGATCTCTCCTTGCTTTGTAACTAAAACAGCATGACACCTACCACATGCTATGGTTTGAGCATCGAGAACTATTGTTGACTCTAATGCTTTTGGTAAAAGTGCATCTTCTAGTACACCATCACTTATAGTTTCACCCCAGAGGAAAACATCACCTAAAGCATCAAACTCTTCGTGAAACGAACCGTGGCTAGATGTGCTCACAGCGCTAGACATACTGATTCTAGCCAGGTCACCACCGGTGGAGAAGCGTGAGTTTTCGACATTTCCGGGAGAGATAGGACAGTAATTGGCTTCTGTCTGGTTGTTATTGGGTGGTGCAGTTATTGAGACAACGTCGGCAAAGACTTTTCCTAACCGGTTTGGTGTAGAAGTCTCGGTAGAGGGCTGAATAACTTGATCCTGTGGTAACATGATGCAAAGTATAATTAAGATGGTCGTTTTAAATTTATCTTAAAGAACATGAAATGTTGTGTAACTCACAAGGATTGATACGAATGGAGACACTCTTCGTGCATGAGGTGTTGGACATTCAGGTGAAGTGATCTCAGGTTTGATATTGTTTTTCCATTTGGAGATTTTTACACGAGTGATCAGTGCCTTCAGACCAACAACCCACACTTCTGCTTCGTCCTTGTCTTTACATATCTGCACAAAACAATCATCAAAATCATAGTGGATAAATAAAATATGAATGTTTCAGGATTTTTTTTCCTCCTAGACCTTAATGTTATTTACATGTACCATTCAAGTTCATTGTCAATTTCATGGTAAGAATGCATTAAAAAGAGCTCACCAAATCCAAGGACCTGTCAGGACATATGAGTGAAAAGGATTGATACTCTTTCTCCGGTCGTGGATATCTTTTAAATGTAGCCTGAAACAAACTTTAACCGTTGAGTCTCTAGGATGTGGTAAGGAGAACAAGAGACCATCTTACTAAGTTGAAATGTAATAGAAACATATTTTGGAAGCTATTTTTTTTTTATTCAAGGAAGTGTACTTGTTTACATGCATATTGCATTGAGAAACTTATACCGTGCGTTGTCCAGGAACAATTCTGAGGACTTGACTCAGCTTAATCTGCTTCTCTTCTTTGCCAGAGTACCATACTAATGTTGACTCGTCCTAAGATAATATATTCACATGTAGTAGTTTAAATTAATGAGCAAACAAGAAGAATACAAAGGAGTCGTCTCTCAGATGATATGATCGTTCAAGAAAATCTTACACTTGTGAGCTGGAATGGACAAAACTTAGGCTTCCCTCTACGACCATATTTCAGCAAGTACGAACCCTTCTTAAGTGACGTAATGGCCTGTCGAATGCAGCCAAAAAGTTAAAATTTACAATGACTTATATAGAGAAGCAGAGGTTGGTAAATAAATAAAAAAGACATCCTAAGCATATATGAATAGAAGTAGGTCATCTTCTAATATTTTTCTCAATCATTCAACGACAAAAGGTTAAGAGAAACAAGTTCTTGTAATCAAAACTCTTAATTAGGATATAGTTTTACCTGTTCGACGTCTCTCTCAGCCATTGATGCTGGTGCAAAGGAATATAACTAGTTCCCTTTCCGAACATTATCCACCAAATCGTTTAATTGCATGAAGACGAGTCCTTATCTAACCCATGCATGGTAGTTTCCAAGAAGTAATCTTCCGTCAAAAATTGTAAAAAAAAAATTCAAAAAAGAATCCAAAACTCTCAAGTCCAAAATGTACATCAACCAGAATACCAAAATCCAACTCCTAGAGATATACGAACAATTTTACTCCACGTATTATTCACCAGACCTAAAAAGAACCCTAGCTAGCTATATATAGCTTCTTCAAAAATATGTTGCAATGCCACAGAGCCAAGGCTCTGATCCTCGAGATCAACGTCAAAACGTGGGATGTATAAAGGCGTAACGTCGCGGTTGAACGCCGGCGAGGAGGATTGAGAGAGAATTCGAGAGGCTCTTGGTGATTTGAGAATCTACGTCTCTGGTTTGCTCTCGTTTCAAAACCTTTTCTTGATTTTTTTTTTTTATTATTTTTGTTTAATTTGATTTTATCTGTTTCATCTTTAGAGAGAGAAAGAGAGGCATAGCCAGCCTAACTGTAGCCTCTTCTCTCCTTTGGAAGCTTTGAGCGAATGTATAACTAAAGTTTTCCATCTCGTTTGAATTTTTCATAAGCTTTTTTACATTATGCCATGTCAGCAATTTAAGACAAAATTCCCATATTTTTAAGTGGGGCCCATTTTGATAAAATCCCCCACCTGTTGAAAAATGCGGACAAAGATGGGCCCCACGAGTTTGATTTTAATTATGGGAATGCGTCACTTAGAGCACCCACATTCGTAAACCGACGATGGGTTCACAGAAAATATTTTTTTTTTATTATTTTTTTTTTTTACTTTTTTCTGTTTGTTTTTCTAAAAAAAAAAGAATTAATGGGCCAATCGTGGGCCGCCACGTGGCGTGGGGTCCACGAAAACTGCAAGGAACCGGTTCACGGCAGACAACTTTTGTGACTCAGGTTCACAAGTCTTCTATTATTTTAATATTTTTTTTTAGGGAAGTGTGTGATCCCCCCTATAAAACCTCAATGTGCATGCTCTTAGGGTGGATTATTTCTGTTCTTTTCATACAAGTTAAACATGTCATTACTACATAAGGATGATACTTATACATGTCATTACTACATAAGGATGATACTTATACATAAACCTGGCAATTATAAAAGCCATAGATAAGTCACAATAGGCACAAATCTAGCTTACAAACTGAATGTAGCCAAACAGGTTCACGATGACAATGACAAACATGGTAAACTTAGTACCTATAATCGTCATCAAAGATCATGTAATCATTGCTTCCTCCTCCTCCTCTCCTCCCTCTTTCATAACTATCCTTCTGCATCACAAAAAAAAATTCATTAAATGTGAATTTAAACATATACACAATTAATCACTAGCCACTACACATGTGTATACATGTTGTATATATGAATTTTGAAAATTTACCCTGACGATCATTCGCTCAAATGCATCAGTGCCGTGTTTCTCCATGTATTTCTCAGCAGCAGTGAGAATGTCATCATCGTCGCGTTTGGGGAAGAAATTTAATTTCTTCTGAGGAACATACCAAATATTGGTGGAAGCTCTTTGAGGATTCATGTAGAATGGCCTGATAAAATGTCTGTAGACATGTTCTGCTCCATTAAACTGTGGTAGCACTAGCCAGCATATCCCTATCAGCTTCAAGAAGGGCCATATCGGAAACCTTTTATGTATGAAAATAAATTTTCATTAATATGTGACTGAAGCTTGTAACCTAAAATATGGAATATCATTATAAATAGTGCTTAAAAATAATAATATTGACTTACTAAAACTAACCATTCAAGAACTTTGGAGAAAATGAGTTCGAAGAGGGAGATGATTGCGTAGAGAACCCAGTAAGTGAGCCATTGCTCGTCTTCTACCAATGATTTTGTCTCTATGGCTTTCACTGATGCATATCTGTTCATTGTTTTTGTCGACATAATTAATTATATTCAAATTTAATTAATTTTGTAATAAAATAGTTGAATACTACAAAAGCATATGCCTCGTGTCTTGGATTCTAAAGTGAGTGTGTGTGGATATACGTGCATCTGAGTTAAAGATTCATTTTCTTTAATCTTTATTGATAGAATTCAAATTTGCAAAGGTTTAACTTTTGCATCTTTTTCCCCTAAGATTTTCCAATGTTCATATAAATCGGAATGAAAGATAACCTTAAAAAAGCGAGTTTAGCTATCAATCTAATCTTCTAATTAATTACCCCTATTAACAAACATACACAGTTATATGAAGAGATAGAGATTTCACTTACAGAGGGTAGACAAGAGCAACCAATGGGCTGCAGAAGCAAAAACAAATCAAGTTTCAACATTAAAGTAAAAGTTAAAGCACAAAACTAAACTTTACAAATCAGTTAAATATCTAAAGAGGGTTTCTGTTTCAAAACCAGAATCAGGTAAGAACATAGACAATGTAGTTGAAACTCAGTAGAAATAACTAAAGAAAGGAGATAGGATCTAATAAGCTAAATAAGAAGAAAAAACAAGATGAGGATCTGTAAAGAGAAATAACAGAGAAGGGAAATAGAGATATACAGTGCAAGAACATCGAAGTTCTTGAAGAGAACTTGAAGAACATTATCATCTCCAGAATTAGAAGGCATTACTGCTGCTTACTTTTATGAGTATCCTCTCTTTCTCTGTGTGAATGTTGAACCTAAAGTGGAGGCCAGGTTTTACTTTGGACCTTTTATGGCCACTCCTTACTTTCTTTCTTTCTTTTTTTACTGTCCAGATTAAAAGTAAATTGATGTTATGCAGTTACTACTACTTTGAGTTCTACTCGGTGAATTTAATACAACATTATGAGATATTAGGGGTGATTGGTTGGAAGGTAACAAGAGATTTTAGCTTTAATTTTCATCTACAATTGTAAAAATTGCCAATCATATTTCATCTAGTTATTAAAACACTATTTTATAAATTGTAGAAAAAAAATATTACTGTAGAAATATCTTTTTATTTTTGTTATTTTTTCTAATCTAATTATTACAGTGATATTTACTATAGTTGCATCAAAAAAATCATACAGATAAAATTTTACAGAAATATCTTTCAGCTACATCTCAATCAATCAAATTATTCAGATCTCTAAAAGACAGATGAATGAGTGAGGAATGTGGATATATAATATGGTGAGTCGGAGATGTAAATATTGTACATTCAAATACCCTTTCTTATCTTCATCTAATAATGGGCCTTTCTTAGCCAATGTATTGTGCTAGCCCATATCAATAAATGTGGATGGAGAGATTATAAGCATTATAGAAACTGGGCCTGAGCAAAGATAAGATACATCTAATTAGGTTATTTTTTTTTCCTTATTATGCATGAAAAAGTTGAAAACAAAATTACTATTTACGTAGAAGGATTAATAACAATATCTGGTATATATTCCTTAATGATTTTAGTTTTAATTATGTGTTCTAAACAATGATAATATGAATGAGTGGATTTAAAAATTCCTGATTAAAGAAATTAGAGAAGTAGGTGAGGGAATGATGATCCTCAACTTTGCCAGATCATAAACAAAAAACCCACATGAATACACTCTTCTGTACTAGAGCTTTTTTTTTACATATTCAACTACTCAGGGAGTCGTAAATCCAAAGAACTCTATTTTAAGCATACACTACATCTTGATCCGCGCAACCGTGCGGATGTTTAATCTTTTCATTTATTTTTATAGAAAGATTTTGTATTCAATTTTTTTAAAACAATTTTTTTTTACTTCTAAATTGATATATATATATATATATGAGATATGTGTATCAATTTTAAAAAGATAATAATTTATCATATATTAGTTTTTCATTGAATAGATTGTTTCAAACCTTCACATGTATCTGTATCTTCTTCTATATATATTATTTTGAAATATTATTTCATTATTAAAGTCGTAAATATATGTAAAGATTGGTAAAATATTGTTTTATTCTTATCTTTAAAGATATTATAATATTTCTCAAATTTAGAAAGTTTAACAAAAATAAAACTTTTAGCTTCATATTTATTAATATAGCTTCATATTTTTTTAAAATAAACTATATATATTAAAAATATTTTTATTGGTTTAAGGTAGTATAGCCTAATCATTGTTAGAAAATGACGATTTTTGTTAGTTTATAAAGTAAACTATCTAATTTCAAAAGTTAACATCGACAAATATATTATAAATAATTAACTTATGAAGATATACTATTATAACAATAAATCACATCCATTTAATTTAAACATATGTTTTATTATATTATCTATAAATTCAATGGGTTATCCAATTATTGTTAGCCCAATAAAAATTTTGGGTAAACTCAAATTATAGATAACTAATTTTAAGGTTACTAATTAATAATTGAATAATGTAATATTACAAATTCTAGTAGATAATCCATTTTAAATATCACACATTAAAAGAGTTATGACTTCTCTTTTAATATATTAGATACGTTTAAGGACATTTTAATTTCTTTTGGACCTATTACATCAACTACCGGTGCCCTTTCCTTTTTGTGTAAATTTCCTTTTTTTATATATACTAGATTCTTTCTCCGCGCTACGTGCGGATTATGTATTTTAATATTTTGTTTTTTTTAAAAAAAAAAAATTTTTTTGTACTATTATGTCCCTTGAATTGTTTGTGTTTATATTTAATTTAATAAACTATATGTACTTTTATTAATTTATTATTGAAAAATCAGTGAAAATACATGAACTAAATATCATTAAGTTTTTTATTATCCAATTTCATAACTAAATTAATTATTTATTCATTTTAATACACTTAATTTTAAAATTGTACTCATTTTAATTCCCAGATTATTTATAAGTTCGAATGAAATTTTAAAAAATCTTCAAAATTGATCGCAATAAATCTTAAAATTTATATTTATATTTTAAGTGATAGGAATAAAGTATCTAAACTGTGGATAATATTTAAAACTATATTATTAGTTGTAGTTTACAATTAAAATTTAGTTTTCTTTCTGAAGTTTAAAATTAATTAATTAATTTATTTAAATATTTTTTAAATTTTAATATTTTATCCACAATTTAGTTACTCTATTCCTAAACTTGAAATTAAATTTGAAAGTTTTCAGATTTATTTTTAATTCAAAGTTTTTTAAAGTTTTGTTTGGAATTTATTTATGTTTTTGATTAAAATGAGCATAAGTTGGGTAGTAAAACGAGCACACATATTAAAATGAACAAAATAATTAGCTGAAATATCAAATAAGTTTGGGTATTAAAAATCCTGAGAAAATTTAGTTGGAGTATTTTTATAGAATTTTATTTTTATTATTTGGAATATGAATTCTTTTTTCTTCTGCCAAATATTCTGTTCTTTTAAAATAGGTATAAGATTTAATCTCTAGAAAATGATTATCATAACTAATACACCAAAGAATGAGAAACACATGTTGTTGTTCTTCTTTGCCATGTACTCTGCATATTTAGTATTTGGTGTAAAGTTGAATTTTTATTATTATATAGTTATTGAATTATACATTTTCAAATTATAACTTTTTATATTTTTTTATATTTCTTTTTTTTTCAAATTTTCATTTTCAAATTAATTTTTTAACTATTTTTTAAAAAAGTAAGAATTTATTTATATATATATATATATATCAAAATCCAACATCTAATCTTTCAAAACAATATCCCTCAAATCTAAACTCTAAGTCTAGATTAGTTAATTCTATGATTATAAGTATCTATTTAATTTTATAAAATGGAGGGTAAATGTAGCTAATGTAAATATAAACATTTCTATTCCGAATGTGGTAGTTTAGACAACTGGGACCAAACATAAAAATAATAATAAAAGTTATGAAAAATGTTAACATTAGATAACAATAAGCTTAGAGTTCCAAAAAAAAAAAAAGAAAAAAGATAACAATAAGCTTCACAACATTTGGGCACTGTAACCCTTCTGGCTTACTCCGTTCATGTAATTTGAGCCCTCGTGCTGAGAATTTAGAGGGTTTACGGGTGTCGGGGCTAAAGAAGCTGCAGGTTGTTCTCTTCCTTAGGAGCTAGGACTCTCTCTCTCTCTCTCTCTGAAACAGAAACGTAACCCAACACAGAACACAACGGATGTCAAAACGCAAAACTTCATATGGTAGCATCTGAGGATGATACTCTAGTATCTGCAAGTTTTTGTAAGAACAAAAACTAAACGATTAAAACCCTCTTCAGAGCATAACCAATCCAAACAAAACAGTATGACTTCAGGAGATTAGTGTACCTATTTCTAGATCAATTCCCTCACGTCTTCTTTCATTATCTTCCTACTTCCAAATTCAAACTCAAGTTTTGGAATCGGTTGGGTAAATGGTTCCCGTTCCACGTTTGCCAGTCCATAAAAGTAAGGATCTGCCAGTGCCTACTCACACAAACACATACACACATGTTTAATGGTCTGAAACTTTGAAAGTACAAATTAGTAAAGAGGAGCTTTACCTCTTCAGCTGCGGGACGGCTTTGGGATCAAATGCAAGAAGGCGGTGTAGCAAGCGAAGAGCTAACGGGTCTACATGAAGGAATTTGTGAGTGAATATATCGTGGTGTTATAGTAATTAATAAAGTACCTGAAGTACCTGAAGGTTACGCCATTGGGAGCCTTTCCATCTAACAGGGTCAAGATCACTAATACCGGTGACTGTACCCATATATCTTCGAACACCACAATCCTCAGTCTCGAACATCATCCGAAACCGCATTCCAAGAAATACTTGAGAGTACAACGCTTTGTTGTACTTGGCTAGAGGAACTACAAACTCTGAATCTTGGATTGAAGAAGATGGTGAAAGGGCTGCTATTGGCATTGGCATGAGCAGCAGCTGCAAGAATCCCAATGTGCATACTGTCGCTGGATATCACCGATGAGGAAAGAGTCAGTTTTGTCTATTTGCACGTCTTATGCCCAACCTCAGCTGTGCTTTCTCATCTCTGCAAAACAGTTTATAACCTCTGATGAGAACAATAAAGTCCATTTTCTGCTTACTGTTTGATCTAAGTATGAACTCATCATACCTTACAAAAAAAACTGAATCTCCAGCGAATAGTCTCTTTGTGCTAAAAAAACGCTCCAACCAGTGGTAAGCAAGTGTCTTTTTGGTTGGCCTGAGATCAGATTACAGCAAAGGAAACAAATCAGACTTGAAATTTTCATTCTTCTAAGCTGATTGGGATGATATATACCTCCATAAATATGTCTAAATGTCCATGTAGTGTCGTGTAAATCTTTAGCTACAATTTCTTGTGCTGGGGGTTGCATCGCAAAATCCTATTTAAAAGCGTCCTCAGAACTTTAGCAAAAAAAAAATGAAACAAAACAGTTTGAGGTTTGATCAGAGAGAGACATACAAGAGGAGGGAATATTTTCTCAGCAGCACGACGTGGTACAGAGAATCCACCATGAGTGCTAGTGTCACTTGCTGTAAGTGTCTTGCAGAAAAACTCAGTAGGTTGTCTGTTTATCTTTAGACCCATATCAGTAGCTAGCAATGCTTCTCTGTCGTTCTGAAACACATTTTGAGTGATCAAGCAAAGATCAGCTTATAAAGTTGTTAAATTCTCAACCAAGACACCACAAGTTAAAAGTGATGGAGGGTGAAGCTTCAGACCTTATTCACAGGTTGAAGAGTCATTTGTGCATAGTCTTCATCCGTCTCGGTATCAGCCTGATTCAGATTTTCACAAAAGTCATGATTAGTTCTTCTTTGATATTGATTCACAAATTGAGATCGTAAGAGAGGCTTACATGTAAAGTAACAGCTAATCAGCTTAGAAGGAAGATTATGGTAATTTGGAATAAAATCTGTTGCTTCTGCATCAACCTACAAAAGAGTCCATTTGGATCATATCATTACTTGGATAAATTGTTTCGAAACGCTAGAAGAATTGCGTTTTGTGTCTACGTTTGGAACCTACTTGTTTGCTATGTCCTTGAGGGAAGTAAACAACACGACTTCCGACAGGAGGCAGTGAAACCAAAGGACCTACACAAGCGTGCCATAGCTGAGAATTGATTGCTTTCTTCTCCCCTGTTCGTTGAAAAAAAGAACAATTAAAAACAAAGACATGTAAAGTCTGAAGCTTTATCAACAATTTGCGGCATTTATGTTGATAAATTTCTAAACAAAGCTTGATAACCGACATACCTTAACCAATCTTAGGATAATACATGAGGAATGAAGATTCTGATTAGATTGATATTCCCTTTTCAAAAAATAACAAATTAATCAAAGAAAATTTTAAAAACAAAACATACAACCACCTTACCACTCCACAAACATCCAAGATCGTTGTGGTAAAATAGACATGGTTCTCTGAAGCAAACGAACACGTTCGAGATCTAAAGGACAGCGTTTCTCTTGCTCCTTTATAGCATGGTTAACATATCTGTCAATCTATATAAGCCGGCCACTCTCGTCCACCATTTCATAGCAATGAGAGTAATACTGCTCTCTCTCTCTCTCTCTCTCACTTCTTTAAGAGATCATGGAAGTGATAACTTCTTGTACTTGAAACATGTAGTATCATGTCATGCACATGATTCTTAACCATAGGTGGATCTACTGACTCTTCTCTTTCTAGCATCACCCAAACCCATCCAACTTCTTCTCCTAACTGCTAACCGAAAGCACATATCTTTTTAAAAAGATGGTGTCAGTGGAGGATCCGTAACCTCACTCAAACTCAACCCGGTTCCCATTAACAATCGACTTCTACGGCTCATCTTCCCGTCTGCGGCAGATCACTCTTGCTCATTCGTCAGCGGAAAATCTGGTTACGCCTCGGAGAATCTTTTCGATTCCGTCATCGAGATGAGACTTGGCGAAGCTTAGAGATGGATTGATGGGGTGGTGGCGATGAGACGATTTGAACGAAGAAATTCAATCGGCGACAAAGAAAAAGAAGGAGAAACAACCAAAAATTAGTGTTCACACGACAAATATTTGGGCCAGATGGGCAACACACTTTCAAATAAAACAAAATAGAACTAAAAAGCCCAATTCGTTTCTGATTATTTAATCTGACGTGGCAACACCACAGTTGAGTATTTGCTCCTTTTAATTATAGTAGATAAAACAAAACGCCGACATAAAGACAATGATCGGTCATGAGTCGTATCTTATTGTTTATCTCCAAAGTATACGTAAACTACTAATCCATTATCAAAGAAGATTCATGAGATCATCGGTGACTATATATTTTTTCTTTCTTTTATGACCGACAAATCTAGTTTCGATCGGCAATCGCTATATTATTGGCGATCAGATAGAATTTCATCACTAAGACTATAGTAGTGCTGCTTCCTATAAACTTTGATTTCGTTAAGCTAACGTTTAATTCACTAAAATACATAAGGTTATAATCAACAGGCCTATGATTTAAAGAAATGGTTCGCACCAATCTATAGAAAAGCTTCAAGTATTATACTTCCATTTTCTCATACTAAAATATATCTTTTTTTTTAACTAGGAAATCCCAAAAAAAATCTAGATCTAAAAAATAATCCTATAAATTCTTACATTTAGGTACGTATAGACGATTAAATCTATTTAAAATACAGTTAAGTGGCAAATGCTACTTAAACCTATGATGGAAATTTTATCCGGAGTCCTTTTACCACTAGTAGAATACTTTTTATTAAGATAAACTTATAAAAGCAAACTTTTTTTTTATTAGCACTTCAACTGTATATAATTATAAAGTCTGTGCATATTATTTGCTATTGCTAACCACTCAATCCCATGCTCGTTAATATTTCTCATTTATATATAATGCAACGTAGGTCTACACACGGTCGTTTCTCTATCTATACCCATGCATGGTAAGCCGTACATATACACTTAATACTTAAAGAAAATATGATAATACAGACCGACACAAGATGCAGCGATATGGTTATTACTTATTACGCATGCTAATACTTATGTATTTTTGTATAATTAAATTTTCCTGGTTAATTTTACATCATCAGTGTATCATGTCTTCCAGTACATATATATATATATATATATATATATATATATATATATATATATATATATATTTAAAGTGTCAACGAAAAATTAACTTTAAGAAATAAAAGATAAGTGACAAAAAAATAATAATAATAAATAAATAAAAGATGAAGGTCGAATTTATAACCTTCAGTAGTTTTGATAACATGCATAATGGCCTAATGGGTTTGCATCGAGATCAACATACATCCTACTCAAATATTTTACCTTTTTCTAGACATTGTTTTCATTACTTGTATGATTAATTTTCGAAAGAGAATGAAATGTCTTTGGTGTTTTTTTGTTGGTGTTCGAGATTCACAAGCTTTGGTGTTCAAATAATCGCGTTCTTACTAAACTAATTAATACATTAGTTAATCAGAAGAAGAATGCGACCAAGCAAAACTCGCATAACAAACCTCTCTCACTCAGTATAGAGGAAAACATATTTCACAAGACAAATACTAATTGAGGCTAAACCCTCCAGAAAACAATACACTAAGATATATCAAGTCTTACTTAATACATTTATTAATCAGAAGAAGAATGACACCCCAGAGAACTCAAACAATAAACCTCTCTCACTCAAGAGTATAGAGCAAACACATTTCACTAGAAAACTACTAATCGAGGTTAAACCCTTGAGAGAAAAAAAAACAAGCTTGGTTTCAAAAACCACATACATATATCGAATAATCACGTTCTTACTTACTTAATACATTAATTAATCAGAAGAAGAATGAAACCCGAGCAGCACTCGTAGAATATTATAATTTATCAAGAATAAATATAAGAAATAAAAGAAGCAATGCTAAAAAACAAGCTTGTTTAAAAAACAATCAAACAAACGAAATAACAAAACTAAAAATAATTAAATCTCACAGATATATTGGTTTGTGTGTGTGTGTGTTTTTGCCTAGGAATGATGACTTGTGCTTCCATCTTCTTGATGGTTATGATTATGTTCTCCTTCACGGTTTTGCTGGTTAACCGTCTCCTGAACCGGCCGGTAAGCAGCGTTCAACGCCGCTAAAACACCGTAATGGTTATGTTCTCCACCTCCATAACCAGACGCCAAAGGCTGTCCAGAAAACAAAGCAATAGGAGCTGCAAAATTCATCAAATGTACTCCTCCACCTCCACCTCCACCACCACCGCTAGTGTTGTAAACATCACCAGAATGATGAGGATTAATATTAATACCCCAAAGATTCTGCCTACTATCACCACTACTCCAAAACGGTGCCGTGGTAGGAGTCTGACTCGTTGGCAAAGATCCAGCCGTTGATTGTAATAAATAGTTCCCCACTTGGTTATGCTCTAAGAGCTGCGAAGAAGAAGAGGAATGCGTCTCGTTCTTGGGACGCACCTGATGAGGATGAAAGTAATAGCTGCTTGGAGTTGAACGAAGATGAGCAGCGGAGAGAGAAGATCTTGAGCTACGAAGTGAGATATTAAGAGAAGCGAAGTTAGCCGGTATGGTTCCTGTCCCTGTAGCGGCTATAACCGCCGGTTCAGCTTGCTGGAGAAGCCACTCGATGGTTTCACCGTCTGATTTATGACCTAGCTCACGTGTTAGCTGAAAGACACGTGCCGCGCACATGGCCGGCATACGGATCCTACGGCCTCGGCCTTCGACTTTGGTGTGTCTGTCTTTAGTTGAGGTTCGCTTTGGAGGTGGTTTCTTGGAGAGAGCGTTAGGGTCGGAGCTAGGTTCGGAAGAAGATGGGATGATGGTTAAAGAAGTGGAAGAGGAGGAGGAAGAAGAATCAAGAAGCTGGAGAGGGAAGTTTGGTCTATGATGATTCGGGTTATGATCCATTGATGATGGGTTGTGGTGGGGAAGTGGGACTACTGTCTCTGTTAGATCTTTATGTGAGCCATACTTTCTCTCTCTATCTTGTGTTTTTTTTTTGTTAGAGAGAGAGATGTTATGGTCCTTAAGGACATGAAGCTACTTTCAGATGGGGAAGCTTAGCTGTGTATGTGTATGAGAGAAAGATGGTTAAAGCAATGAATATGAAAGCATGGACTTTTTTTTATCTTCTTTGCTTTTATATCTTTTGTGTTTCTTATTTTTGGAATTTCATTTACATTATAAACTATTTTTGGTAATAAAAGATAGGGTTACGTGGTTTCCCTTCTGTACAATTATTCAAATAGTATGTTGTTCTTTTTACGTACAGTGGTCGAGATGAATGAAATAAGAGGAATTATTTTTTATTGCGTCATCTTATAATAACACAATCGTATTTTAAACACACTCTATATTTACATTCTTTCCAATAATTAAAAGGTGATGTGAGTTTTCGTCGTTACTGTTAACTTCATGTCGATTGCGAAGTTAATTGCAGAGTTGGCCAAAAATTTAGCGATTGAGAACTAGAACGCAGAAGTTACATTTGCATATACAATAGTTTGTACGTACGTGACAGCAGAATAATATATAGAGAGAATTATTATTGACAGTGATTAAACCATGTCACTTTGGTAGATCACGAGATCCACATGATAGAATCCAACTGCCTTTTTTATGAAACAGATAGATTTTTTTTTTATATGTGTCTCTTCGGTGTGAATGGAGTATAATATTATTATTTATTATCTAGAAACCATATAGTTACACCCAAAATAAAAACCATATATAAAGCTATAAAAAATATGCATTGCTTATATGCTTTGTTTCCACCATTGGCGTTGTCTCATTGGCATACAATTATCTTTAAAAGATGTAGTGTAGCACTAAACTTCGCAAACTTATTTTGCTGATATGGACAATACAGTTTATTTTTATACTAGGGAAATGTAACAATTAGTAGTGAAGAAGTTCCCTTTCTTTATGTGATGATTATCTAGCACATAAATTGTTCATATACTGATTTTTGTTAATTTCCTTGGGAGTTTAGGGCTAGACTTTATGTTTTAAATTCGTTTTATTCAATCCAAACAAGCATTGGTACATCTTATTTTCATGTGTTATGAGCATATGTACAACATTCAGTACAACATACATCTTTTATATCTTGTTGATATATAATCTATGTAAAGAGTATTCTTATATTTGATGGGTATAAACCTTTTTGTATATTTTAATCCCAACAGTTTGATTAGCCTATCAACTCTAATATGTTTTAGGTCAGATTCAACTCATTCAAGTTAATATTTGACACTTTCATTTACTAAACGATATTAGACAATTTGAGACTCTTTTTGCATATCAAATAGAAGTATATTTTCATACAAAATTAAATAGTTAACCTCTGAAGATTGTTTTGGCCTGAGAAATTTTAAATATACAAATTAAGATGTGGTGATACAAAATGTTAAGGATGACGAGAATAGTTTAATAGTCTCGTGTGACATTTCAGGATGATCAGGGTTCAGGTTTTATAATAAATCAATCTATCTTTCTAAAATACTTTTAAGGTTGTAAAATATAAATTTCTATTAAAATAAGACTAGTAAGAAGAAGAAGAAGAAGAAATAGTAAATAAAGAAATAAATAAGAGATAGACAGTGGGGTTGAAACAGACTCCACGTGCGTGTCCTCTGCATCATTCACTCTCTAAAGACAGTGGCCACCATAGCCACATCTCTCCCTTCTGAGCCCCACATCAAGTCAACTCAAACTACTAATCTTTCTCAAATTTTCATTTATTTATCTTTTACATCTTTGATTGAATGTATTATCACGAACGCTATTTCAAACATTACTACGCGTAAAAGCCATTCCAAGCATTTCCTTTTTACATAAATTTTGAATATCTTGACTATATAAGTTTAGACATTTTTTACTAGAAATCATTAGGTGTGGTCAAAATTCTTACTTCATCCTATTCCATCAATACTAGTTTCATTTCTCTCTTTCTAGAAAATGTTTGCTTGAATTAATTGAATAGAAATATGAGTATAGGAAGTAAAGAAACAAGAACAAGAGCAAAATCAATAGAAAACAACAACAACAAAATATAATTAAAAGCTATGTATACAAATTACATAATTATTATATTTGATGTAAGCAGTAATAGTCCCGACTTTTAAAAGATCACAAACTAACTGAGAAAAATGGTTAAAACGGCATATTCTGATTACTGAGATTAGAGATAGATGATTTACAACACTACATTGAAGAGATTTTTGAAAAATTTAGCCAAATTTAATTTATACTTCTTTAACTTTCTCCTCAAGGTCGAGTTTGATATAAGTTTTTTGATTAAATTGATTATTTAACTTATTATAGATTTAGAAAGTAAAAAAAAATTATTTTGTAATAAAATATTATTTATATTAATTTTAGACTCTTAATTTTTAAAATAATATTTTTATTTTATTTGTATAGACTGAATCAAATATTCAGTTAAAAATGTAGTTTTTGAATATATATAGTGTCCGACTCAGACCACGTAGTTTATTTTATCAACAAATTTTTTTTCGCTCCCAATTACCGAGTTTCTATGACTCTCTCGAAAAATCTAAATCAAATATTCAAATAGCTATGGTTCATATGGATTTAGATAACTAATTATTCAGACGAAACAGATTATTACAAATATTTAATAAGAAAATTAGATTTTTGTTTCATGTCCATCTTTAACTGTCATGTTAAAAACCAAACTAACCCGAAGAAAAGGGAACCATACGTATGGGTTCCTAAATGAAATTCATCTAGATATTTATATCCCTCTAGCTCGTTTTGTCTTTTTTCTTTCCGTTTGAATAAAAATTATTTGTTTACTACTTTCTTTGTTTCTAAATAAATGTCATTTTGACATTTTTCACAGAAATTAAAAAAAATTATATAATAGACTAATATTCCCTATGTTTCATTATAAGTGTCACTTTAAAGCTGTATACATGAATTAAGAAAACAATTAATTGTACATATTTTCTATATAAAAACACAATTATCTATATACCTAATCAAATTTTAATCAATATAAAATCAAATTACATAATAAAGTTAATAAATTTTGCATTGAAAATCAAAAACGAAATTTATTTTGTTAGAAAAAATTGCTACAACGACACTTAATATGAAACGAAGAATTATATCTCTGTTTAATGTATGATTAACTAAATGAGAATGATTTAAATAAAAATCTATTGGTTATTCAAAAGGATAAAAAATAAATTTAATATACAAAGTTATACTGGGATTGTAGAATGACACTTATTTTGTAACAAAATAAAAATATTAAGAGGACACTTATTATGAAACAGAGGGAGTAATAATTTGAGTGAATATATCATTTAACTTATTAATAACTAGAGTAACCAGACAGAATAAACTTCTATAAATTAATAATATTGAAAATTTAAAATTTATTAATTTATAAAGATATTAATTTATAAAAGTTTTCTTATTTAGATTTTTTTATTTTAAGGTGAGAAAATATTTTTTTTTGTGATTGGACATTAATTATTATCTTTTGAATTTTTACAATTATATAAATTTTATTATTATTTGGTGTATATAATATATATTACATATAATTTAAATGTGGTTTTATATATAATATTACTAAATTTTATCAAAAATATATTATGTGTTAAGAAATTATAAAGATAACCCTTGTTAATATAAAAAATAATATAAGGATAAATTATTATTTATATAAAATATGTATACATATAAATTATTAATGTATTTTTATTGGGATCATATTTTTGCATAAAATTTTCAAAAAAAAATTATCTTATTATTTTATTGATTTGTGTTAAATTTGGCAAGGATCTAAATTATGACAAAAACATTATTAATTTATAAAGAGTACTAATTTTATAAAAAAATTACTGCATATATTTTATCATACCACAGAAGATTCTCTTGTAAAAATACACTTGAGATTATTGTATAAAAATGGAGAGAAAAAAAGAAAGAAATGGAAAACAAATAATTAAAAGGAAAAAGTGGGCTCCCATCCACATTCACCAGCAATGATTGCCTCACTGCCTTTGCAGCTCCACTTCTGCATCTTTCCTCTTTCTTTTTCTTTATTTTAATTTGTCTACCAGAATTTTGATTTGCTTTGATTTAGCCACCATTCCCTCCATAACATTAGATATTCGGTATAAATTAAAAGATTTATCCACCCCTTTTTTCCTGTTGCTTATTTCTCATTTTACAGGCACTTGTTTTTTTTACCAACCAGTTGTTGGTCAAGGACTCAAGCAATAAATAAATGTCTCTCAAGTTCAATTCCCATCAAAAGAAACTACTCCCTTCGTTCCTAAATGATCCATATTTTAGAAAAAAATTTTGTTTCTAAAAGATTCATATTTTACATTTTCAATATATGTAATAATGGTAAATTGTAAACTTCAAAACCATTAATTATGTTTGCTGAATTTTGATTGGTTAAAAATCATTGGAAATAGCTAAACACATAAAATAATGCATTTTTTATCAAAAATTTAAGTGTTTTCTTAATAAGTGTGAAAATTCTAAAACATGGATTATTTAGGAACAGATGGAGTATTTACATTGATTAAGTACTCAACAAAAAGATGAAATCATTAAAAATCCTCGAATAGAGCAATTTTATTAAAAAGTTATAATATTAGAGCAAATCTAATTTTAATTACTATATTTTAGAAAAAAATAGAGAAGCTAAAATAAAGTTGTATTGGAGATAGAATAAGTTAGCATGTATAACTCATGTGATGTGACAATTTACTTTAATGCAATCAAAATAATTTTAGTCATTTGCCAGAGTTCAAAGGGATGATTGATGACGAATCCATCGCATAATACTAGTTCCAATCATATAAAATTCTGAATCAAAGAACCAGACTTTTCTGACTAAATCATATTTTGTCGATGATTTAAAATGAGTTGTCTTGAACTAAGAATCCTTATGCAATTAAGTCCAAACACCCAAACACCCAAACAATAGATCTGTTGTTGGCGAAATCACAGCAAAACTCTTGTCTCCCGGAGATCTTTAGCTCCTTCCTTAGCCGTCGTTTTCTCTCCTGCCCTCCTTTTCCTTTTTTTCCTCTACCACTCTCTTTAGAGGCAACGTCCCTCGTACCCCTAATAGTGATAACGCTAATCTCTTTAGGGCTCACTTGATCTCTTATACCTCTATAGCATAATTCTTTTTTGATCAAAACTCAAACTCTCAAATCAAATCTTCCCCAGTGTTCAAAACTAAACAAAAACTCCCCATATGAATGAGTGAACCATGGACAAATATTTAAATTCTATATCTTTCAAATTCGAAAAAAATATATTTTTAAAATCATTTTTAATCATATTTTGATGATTTTCATGAAAGTATGAAAAAAACGTTTTTGGATTTTTGAAATATTTTTATCAAATTCTATAAATCAAATAAAAAAATTTAAGTTTCCAGATTAATTTTATAATTTTTCGTTTAATATATAAAATTAAAAAAAGAAACGTGTCCCAGAAAAATTAAAGAATGAGATATAGGGGTATGAGTGATTTTATCTCCTCTCTTTAGTTGTCCAACTTTTCTAATATGTAATTAGTACATGATATAAAAAGCAAAACTATGTTAGAAACAATCAATACTTTATTATTAGTTATATATACTTGCACAAAATATATTTTTATAGCATACCAACCTGCTAGGCCAAACCAAGTCTGAAAATAATTTATCATCACAACAAGTTGTTTCGTCTAGTCTTTGGGTTCATGCCATGAACTTCGTGGAATCGTATCCCCTCTCCAAATTGGAAATGGGATTCAAGTCGCAGCTCATAGAATTCTCATTGTTGATGTTATATACTGAGGCGTCGCTTTAACCTTGCGGTGCAATGTAAAAGATTCTTCTCTTACCTAATAAATTTGAAGTATAGTTTATCTAAATTGCAATAAGTTGATTAGTACATCTTGTAAGAGTACTAGTTTTAGATTGGTGATATGGTAGGAACTAAGGATAGTTATTAATACTTGTTAGCTAAATCACATTTTATATGATTAGACCCTATAATTTCATTCTTATTAATTCTGGTATGCTTGTTAATCGTTTAGTAATAATCTTGATTAGTGCTAAATTCCTCGTTGTGTTACTCTAACTTTATTGCTTTTTTATTGCTAGGAAGGTAAATTTCATTAAAGAATTAATAATGTAGGTTGGATACAAACTACTTGTATCGCATATGCTACGAAGCAAGTTTGAGGTAAAAAGAGAGGAGGTTTTCAGTCTTTTCTATACTCTTAAGAATATTAATAACAATTTTATTATGTTCAAGAGTTTAAATTTATTACAATATTTAAATTAATTATATAACTAAACTTTTTTAAATTACAAATACCTTTTGTTGTTTTAGATATTCCTTGAGGTTCTTGTCAATTAGGTTGTTTAAAGACTGATGTAATTTAGTTCTTGTGACAAACAATTGTGTACAAAGAGAAAAATAGAGAAGAAGAAACAACGTAAAAGTTGTCCTCTCATGAACTGTCACTATGGCTCGCGAGATAATCACGTTGCATCCGAAACCCTAGCATTCATATTCATTGTTTGTGAGTCTGGACCCTATCTATCTAATACAGTACCAATTTTTAGACATTATCATGTCTCCACCTCTACATATTTTCCCAGTCTCTACTCCTTTTGTTTTCTTCTACAACTGTATATCTACTAGCTTATAAATTTTGGTATCCTATTTATCGGAACAAACTAAAAGTTCCAAAAGGTGTATATTAATAGGAAAACATAATACATACTCGTATATTATATTTGATCTGTAGTAATTTTAAAGAAGCACAATGTGTGTGAACGTAATTATATACAACATGGATACATACATGTAAAAAAAGTCCAAAACAGACAGAAGGGTGATCTATGCGTAATACGTAAATGTTTTAAATATTTGTGGATCTTACATCCAGACTCTATATTTTTGCATCTTAAATATCTAGTTTTTTTAAATTTTTGTGGATTTTACATCCAGAAGTTGGTGCAATGGTGTCCAAAAGAACGACATCTGGATTTGCATCCAACATAAAAAAACGAGTAGGAAAAAAACGAACATGGCCTAAAATTATTTGAAATCAATCACATCTTTTCTTCTGATTTATCTAGTGGAAGTACTAACGCATCACTATATTTTATCTTTTATAGTTACTCTCTTGTTTTCTTGTAAATAAGATGAACCGGAGATAAAAAGAAGAATCGTTAAAAGTAAAAGATGAGATTGTCTTAATTTAACTTGTGTAATGTGGATACTAATCTTCTACCTTCGCCATTAAAAATTTCACTTCAAACATGAATACATGACGCATGCTTAGTAACTAGACACTAGCTCGTAGTATCAACGCTTGGGTTCACGAGGAATGACTCTTGGTTTTCTAATAACGTCATTATGACACCGCTACACCTTCCCTCCCATAGTCCAATGCATGTTAACTGTTTCCAGGAAGCGTCTTTGCTTTAAAAACTGTGTTTTCTTTTTATATATCTGTATATAAGAACATTGCACAATCAGAGCTTTGTAATACACTTGCACGTCACTTGGGTAGAATGGGTTCAAGCTCAGAGGTAGTATCTACAATTGTGAGGAAATGGAGAGAGCATCCACCTTCTTCGTATTCCCTCAAGGTTGACAGCTTCAAACAACTTGAGAAGTTCACAACGTCCTCTAATGATAATTACCAGTCTCGTCTTTTCTCCTCTTGTGGATATAACTGGTAAGAATCATCTATTCATTTTGTGCTGAGACTAATTTGTTGTTTTTTTAAATCTTAATCTAACTAGTAAGGCATTGCTATGTTTTCTATCAAAAACAGGAAACTGATCGTATACCCAAAAGGAAACGAAAAGAACAATGGGAAAGGGTTCATTTCGATGTATGTGGAAATAGACAGCAAAAGCTTGATATCAGCACCAAATTGTGAGGTGTTTGCGGAACTCTTTTTCTTTATCTACAACAAGATGGAAAACAAGTACCTTACTGTTCAAGGTAAGATACTTATCATGTAGTGTTTCAAAAAAAAAAGTACTTATCATGTTCTCTCTGTATATATATATATATATATCAGTTATCAATATATTTTATATATTCAGATGTGGAAGTAAAGAGGTTCAATGCACTTAAAACGGTGTGGGGGTTGCAGCAAGTTCTTCCATTTGATTCATTCAACAACCCTGAAAAAGGTTATGTCTTTGAAGGAGATCAATGTGAGTTTGGTGTTGATGTTATTGTTCCATCACCCCTTACCAATTGGGAAATTCTCTCTTTTAATGAGAAACTCCCGATCCCCAAGTTCTCTTGGAGTCTTGAAAATTTTTCTCAGTTAACCGAGGAAAAATACAGATCGAACACTTTCTCAATGGGAGCAAGGAAATGGTGAGTATGTTTAGTTTTGGACTAAAAAACTATGTCTTTATACACATGCAAATGGTTTTGTAATTGTGTCTGTACAAATGGTAAACAAGTTTATAATAATTACTATTTTGTAGGACTCTGTTGCTGTATCCGAAGGGTGACTCTAGAGCAGGTGGCAAATGGTTATCCCTTTATATGCAATTAGCTGATTGTGATAAACCAAAAGCGGGCGAGATGATTTTGGCGCAAGCAAATTTGCGAGTTCTGGACCCACTTGGATCCAATCACATTGAACGCAAACGTATCTTCTACAGCACAATTACGTTAATTAATTATGTTTTTTTTTTTTGTTTTGCTGACTGAACCACAGTTGATACAGTTTAGATAAGAATTTTATTTTACTTGCTCTTTCAGTGAACTATTGGCACAAGGAAGAAAACTTGGGTTGGGGTTCGTATATGTTTTTGTCGTTAGATGAACTTCGGAAGTCTTACTTGGACAAGGAAGACGCGTTGAACGTTGAGATCGAATTTGAAGTTGTTTCTGCGACCAAATATTCTCCTAATCTCTAAGCACTAGCTACTCCCCATATTGCCATCCGACAATGTTATTTTTTCCACTTTTTTTTAATTGCTATAGCTTCCACAAATTTTGTTTAGTTATCTTTGTGTTGTTCTAGAGTCATCACCTCAAAGGCTCAAACGCCCTTATTCAAAAAATTTAAATCACTTATACCCTCCACTAATCTTTATACACTTCATCTTTTAATAAAAATCTCAAATAAATCATTCTCAAACTATCAAAACTAAACAACACCCCCCCTATGGATCAGTGAACCTATGGGTAAAATATTTAAATTCTATATGTTTTAAATTCGTCAAAAAAATATTTTAAAATCGCTTTTAATCATTTTTGATGATTTTCGGAAGAATATGAAAAAACAGTTTTTTGATTTTTGAATTTTTTTTATCAAATTCTATAAATCAAATAAAAAATATTGACGTTTTCAGTTTAATTTTATGATTTTTCGTTTGACATATAAAATTAAAAGAAAAAAGTGAGGACATTTGAGCTTTAAATTTTTCAAATAAGGGCACTTGAGGCAATTACTCGTTGTTCTATCGTTTCTGCTTTCAGAGAGTTTAAGGGATAATTAGATTTTGACCCGCGCAGTTGCACGGGTGTTTGTTTTCGTTTACAGTTAGTTATATAAACATTTTGTTTTCACTTGTAAATTGGTATATATTATAGTAATCACATATTTACGATATATATATTAAATGTTTTTCAAATATAATAATATTATATAATACGTGTTTTAATCAAATAGATTGTTTTAAATTTTATATATTATACATGTTTTTCAAACATGTGTTTGTTTCTTTTTCTATATTTTATTGTTTGTTAGATTAGTATTTCATATTTAGATAAAATAATATAAATAAAACTTAATTAAATATTAGTATACTTTAATTTGCAAAGATAATATAAAATTCAAATTTCTTTTTGCTAAAAACTAAACTTATAGCTTCATAAATTAATATTATAAAGAATTCTATTAAAAAAAAAAACAAAATACTTGAGACATACAAAGCTACCTCCTCTGCTTCCTTTTTTATTAATTAACCCCGTGATTCAAAGTCAGTGACTGGTTTCTGCTGGTAAGGGACATCCGAGGCATGGACGAGCTGAGTTTCTAAGTCGTCCTGAAGGTGGACTGTGGAACAGTGGTAGGCTTCTACCTTATAGCGCTTTGATTATATGTTTGTACATTAGTGGTTTTAAGGGAAAGTCTATGTTGTTGAGCTTATACTTGATATATTTTGTGTATCACAACGATAGGTGTGAAATATCATTCAACCGGTGAACAATCATGGGACAGGTTTTTTTTTTTGGTAGAGTGTAAACCTTGGAGGCAGCAAACTGTTGATTATTTACTTACCATCAACTTCTCAGGTTTGTTTTCAGCTTTATGAGAGTTTAAATTAGGAAATAATAGTTATGAGTAAGGATTGGTATAACCAGTGTCTCCAATTTAAAGCAGCTTAGGTTACATTAAGTTCATGAACTTTGGTCCTATATATTGTATTTTTTTTGTATATACTATTACATAATAGAAAAATAGCATCTCCTCTTGTGAATTATCCTTTATAGCTACTATTTTGTGTTCTTGTGAATAAGATGAAGTGGAGATAAACATAAGAATCGTTAAACATAGAGATGAGAATGTCTTCACTCCAATTGTGTTAATGTGAATACTAATCTTCTACATTTTCCTTTTAAATTTTCACTTCAAACATGAATCTTATATATTAAAACAGAAGTCATGACTTTACTTCATGTGTGATTTTTTTAAAAATTGACTATTACTAGAAAATTATGTTACATTAACTCTCTAATAATCTTATCATTATATCTTATGAAAAATCATATCTATATTAACAAATATACGCTTAACAATTTGGTTTTGGTAAATTACCCACACCTTCCAACTTAGTCACGCACAATATGTCAATAGATATAAGTTTATGAATCTTCTATTATTTATAAGGAAATATGTCAATAATAGTTAAATGCATCCACAATATATTAACAAAAATCACAGATTAATAGTATGGAATATTTATATATTCTAACAAAATTTACACGCTATATATATTAGATAACTTTATTTCGATGTAAATTTTTAAAATTATATTTTTTAAAAATAAGAAATTGTTTAAAAAATTCATTTTTAATAAAATTCTTTATAATATTAATTTATGAAGCTATAGATTTAGTTTCTTCGAAGTTTATATTATCTTTGCAAATTAAAGTACACTAATATTTAATCAAGATGTATTTATATTACTTTATCTAAAAATGAAATACTAATCTAACAAACAATAAAATATAGAAGAAGAAACAAACACATGTTTGAAAAACTTGAAAAACATGTATAATATAGAAAATTTGAAACAATCTATTTGATTAAAACACTTATTATATAATATTATTATGTTTGAAAAACATTTACTATACATATCATAAATATGTGATTACTATAATATATACCAATTTACAAGTGAAAATAAAATGTTTATATAACTAACTATAAACGAAAACAAAAACCCGCGCAGTTGCGCGGGTCAAAATCTAGTTACTCTATTAAATAGAGTCATTCTTTTTATCTATCGATACAAGTTGTCATTTAAATTTGGACACTTTCTAGAATGTTACAAATAATATAAATCATATAACTAATTGAACCATATTACTTAAATTAAACCAACACAATTAATGTAAAGAGACGATCATAATGTAAACTACCTTCAAAATACGGCAGATATCTATATGTATACCAAAAACACATATTTTCTCCTACAAATATGGAATGTTCTAAAAGAATATATATCATCAAAATATAGAATATGGAAATCTACTAATTATACTTAAATTAAACCAGTGGTTATTTATGAAATATAGTCTTGGGCTTACTTTTATTTTTTGAACTAATTATATAGTTTGTTATTTTCGCTTAGTATTAAGAAAAAACTCCAAAAACATTGAATAAAATTTTCACCTTAAAAGATCAAAAATCAATTATTATTTTCAGACCCAAAAGGTATTTAATATTTTTAACAAAACAAAATTATCTATTATTAATCATTTATTTAAATCATGTACTTTAAAACATGTTAATATATTTTTTTATTTTAAATAACAATCACTTTGTTTTGATAAATTTCAATGGTAACTTTTAAATAATTTATTGTTTTATTTTTCTTAAATANCAGACCCAAAAGGTATTTAATATTTTTAACAAAACAAAATTATCTATTATTAATCATTTATTTAAATCATGTACTTTAAAACATGTTAATATATTTTTTTATTTTAAATAACAATCACTTTGTTTTGATAAATTTCAATGGTAACTTTTAAATAATTTATTGTTTTATTTTTCTTAAATAATTTACTGATTAAAAAAATGTAAAGCAAAACCAAAAACCAAAAACCAAATCTAAAAACTAAAATCCAAAACCAAAATTTGAAAACACATTAAGAGCCGTTTTCCTTTTTTTCGTTAACTTCCATATTCTTTTAATTCCCAATATGATACACATAATACTGTTATATATATTTTCTAATTCTAATCCCTAAGACTCTACTATATATATTGCAGAATCTAAGATGAATAATGCCTAAACAAGTCTCCTCCCCTTCTCGTCACGTTCATAGTAGATTTGCAATTTCCATTGTCTAAAGGTAAGGTTATCTAACATAAGTTCTTCTAGGATCAGAAAAAAAACAAAAGGTAGATGCTAATAGTCTTTTAGTTAAAAGGTTTTGGATTTTAAGATTTGAGTTGGATGCTTTTGGTTTTGGACTGCTTAGAGGTCTTCTTTACGTTGATTTGATTATGAAAAGTCTATTTATTCTTTTGCTATTATATATTTCTTCCTTTGACTTAGTTAAGATTATTTCATGTAGTTTTAAGATTTGATTATCAAAAGTCTGCTATTGCACTACTCTTCGTGCTATTGCACGCCTTTCCTCCAATGTGAACTGTTTCCAAGAAACGTCTTTATTTGATTTAAAAACATATTTTCACTTCTCTGTATCAGTATATCTGAACATTGAACTTTTCAGATCTTTGTTATTTTTTATAGACTTGCACATGTCATCTTTGAGAAAACATGATTTTGCAGTCGACAAAAAAAAAACTGTATTTTCTTTTATATATATCTGTATATAAGAACATTGCACAATCAGAGTTTTGTAAAATACACTTTCTCGTCACTTGGGTAGAATGGGTTCAAGCTCAGAGGTAGTATCTACAGTTGTGAGGAAGTGGAGAGAGCATCCACCTTCTTCGTTTTCCCTCAAGGTTGACAACTTCAAACAACTTGAGATGTCGACAACGAACTCTGATGATAATTACCAGTCTCGTATTTTCTTCTCTTGTGGATATAACTGGTACGGATAATACATTCATTTAGTGTTTTGTTTAAAACGTAATAATCTCTATATAGTAAGACATTACTATGTTTTCTATAAAAACAGGAAACTGATCGTCTACCCAAAAGGGAACGAAAAGGACAATGGGAAAGGATTCATTTCGATGTATGTGGAAATAGACAGCAAAAGCTTGATATCAGCACCAAATCGTGAGGTGTTTGCGGAACTAATTTTCTTTGTCTACAACAAGAAAGAAAACAAGTACTCTACTATTCAAGGTACATAAGCTGCTTCTCATGCTATCTTTCTCTTTTTATATGTTTATTCACTTATATTTTAGTGATCAATATATTTTATGTGGTCAGATCTAGAAGTAAAGAGGTTCAATGCACTTAAAACAGTGTGGGGCTTACGGCAAGTTCTTCCATATGATACATTCAATAACCCTGAAGAGGGTTATGTCTTTGAGGGAGATCAATGTGAGTTTGGTGTTGAGGTCAATGTTGTTCCACCACTTACCAATTGGGAAATCCTCTCTTTTAATGAGAAACTCGAGGACCCTAAGTTCTCTTGGACTGTTGAGAAATTTTCTCAGTTGAAAGAGGATAAATGCACATCGAAAACTTTCTCA